GGATTCCATGCTGCATATAAAGTAGATTCAGTTAATACTTCAGCAGTCTTTACTGTTGGAAGATAAATACTCTTCTCTTGTAATGAAGATGCAAAAGGTCTTCTTGTAATACCCATCTAGCTCCTGGATAATATGCTCTACTTACTGCACTTGAATATGAACTCACTTGATAAGGACCTGGTACTATTGGTACATTACTTAATACACTTTGTCCTTCTTGTGTTACTTGACTTGCTACTGCTTTATCTATACCATTTCTATCCCATGCAGTGATAACATTAGGAAATGTCATTGCAGCTTGACCAAATGTATTGTAAACAATTTCAGCTGACACTGACACTCCATCTATTTTAAATTGATCATACATTCCAGCATAATATTGGAAGAATTCCATGCCGCAAAGTAATTTAGTAACATTCATTACAGTTGTAGCACCATTAGTATTTGCTGGAATAGCTAATTGTACTGTTTCAGTAGCATTCAACACTACTTGAGTTGAATCTCTTTGTTGAAAAGCAGCTTTTAAATTCCCAACCATAGTACTTCTTAAATTTCTTCTAGTTGAAGTTGGTCTAGTAGCTGTGGCTCTTCTTGTACGTCTCATTTATTTCAATAACTCAGTTGAATCTAAATTAGAGTTTAAATAGATGAAGTTATACACATAAACAATAAACTGACATTAATCGTTCATAAAATTTTAATCCTATTAAAAGTGGAATAATTAATAACATGTTTAATACATGGCTATAAGAATTACAACTTTGTAATGATGAATTGAAATGTGTTGTGCATGTTGTTGTTTATAAAATATTTTTATCGATTAAGGAATAACAAATATTATACATAAATAGAATAATGACTACATTAAAGAATTGTGATGTATGATTTTATGATGATATATCAATTCGTATGATAGTTTTGTACCATAATAATTATTTATACAATTGTCACAACATCTACTATCACAAATATATACATGTATATAATAATAACGATGTCTCTATGAAATTAATGATGTTTTTTCTGTTATTATACTTTCTATTATCATTATTAACATTATATATTTCTTTCTGTCATTATTTCTAAAATTGTTGTATAATAATTATATACAAAAATACATCTAAAATAAATAAATTAAGATCTAATAATATCATAGTTTTTGATGAATTTCAAGTGTTAATAGCACACGTAGTTTTATTAAGTAGTGTTTCTTAGTTTTTCATATGATATTTGTGATAAGATGTGGATTATATTACTTTGTAAGAGGCATAATTCATGATAAGATATATTACAAACATCGATTGAATCATATTCTCTGTATATTTCTTTTATTACTGAATGATTCATGTAAGTTTTACATACTGAAATATCAATTTATATTAGTAAACAATATATCCATTCTCTTTTCTATATACAAATATGAATTAATTGAATATTCAACTTCTTTCAACATAATATATAACCAATAAGTATTTATAAACAAATAATGAGATAAATTGTGGTAATACAATTATCAATATCATTTTCACGAGAAATAAAATACAATGAAGAATTAAGAAATAAAATTCTCATAGAATTATTAACTTTGTTTACTAGTTATTCTTAATTGACATTTAACTGATACTTTTATTTAATTACGACATTTTAATGAAAAATAATTGTCTTGGTTATGAACGAAGTTATATACTTGTGTGAAAATATGGATATTGAAGTTTACTATCAAGACACTGATAATATTCACAATAAAGATGATAAATCAACTCAATTGAGATATTATTATCATGAAAAATATAACATAGAGTTGGTTGGAATAAAAATTGATCAGTTTCATTCTGATTTTCATCCAGGCCATGAGAAAGTTGGTTATTTAAATCCATCTTTCTTTGTAAGAATTTATATTAACGTTCTCACTATCGAATATTGAAATATAGAATAGTTAATAAGAATGAAATGAAATTATCTGATGATATTTTGAAGTGTCTACTGATAAATTTGAGAAAGTGTACAACCATTTTATGAATATGAATATACAGGAAATTCACCAACTTTTGAATTATCAAAATATTTTCTTCACATTATTATTGAAAGAAATTTTATTATTAATTCTCTTTCTTCCTTTAAATAAATAATCAAATTTCAAAAATGTTAGCTTAATTAAGTCTAAATAATTATTATCATGTTTTATATTATCTTTATTTAATATCATTTCATTATAAAAGAATTATTTTATTTTTTATTACTTCTTTCACTTTTGTTTTGACATATTCTCAGTTACTTTTCAATTTCTTTCATAGAATTTTGGTATTTTTTCTATCATATTTCTTATTCTTTCTCATAATGGCATTATTATTGTATTTCATTTTGAAAATAGGTATTATTTTCGATGCTACACTGGTAGTGCTTTATATAATTTCAATCATATTCCCATTATTTTCTAGTTGTTTTATTTCTGTTCTTTAACTTTTTGTTAAATCAATTTTCTTATGAATCAATTGGTAGTAATGAGTTATTTAGTTATAGATATTTTTCGACATCATTTAATTCATTGTTTTCTTCATTATCTAATCTTCTAATTCATTTTGTGTTTAATATCAAATAATAATGTCTTAATTGTTTATTTTACTTGTGTTTTAGTGATTCCATTTGATATTTCATTCTGAACTTCTTTTAATTATCTTTTAATTCCTCAATTAATATAATCACATCTTCTTAGTATATTTAATACTTCATTTATATATTCAACTAATTTAGAATAAATACTTCCGCTTTTAATACCATTTTAATATTGAATAAAATCTGATGAAGACTAACATATGGTTTTTCTATTCATTTAATCTTAATTTATATTTATTTAACTTTATAATCTAGGAAATGATAATGACGAAGGAAAATCAATAGTAGATGATTTTGATTATCCAAAGTTAATACAAATAAGATTAAATATTCTATTTTGTTTAACTATCAAAAAGTCCGATAAATAAATATGAATGTATTAATAATATACATCAACGTTTGATGTACATGTATTTATCACTTCAAACTTATATAATCGAATAAGAATATGGTGTATGTCACTTTTAAGACTACATTCAATAATAAGATGAGTAATGATATTAGATTTTATTTGAGTGATATTTTCTATTTTATTCATTTGTTTTAATAGTATCAAAATAAATTGTGTTGTTGTTGAAATATCGTGTTTTTTAAAATATCGTTTTTATTTAAATATTTTGAACAATTTATTTCAATTAATAATTGAAATTAAGTTGTAAGATAAAATATTCATCGATAATACAATTGACTTAATGATGTTTCCTTTACAGTCTTTACGTCGTTTCTATTTTTATTGTGTTTTATTTGCATTGAAATGTTTTTGTGCCATATTCAAATATGACGTGAAACACACCATTTGGTCATTTCTGGAGAGTCATAGTTAAATAAACCATAATAACTAACACTAATATCTACCACTCAAATTAAAATATATAAATTTCAATACTTCTATTGTCTTGGGATAATTTTTCAGAAGTAATAAATTCCAATGGTAATTTCACATTCCATTTACCTGGAAATAAATTAGGAGAAATATTTTGTATTGTGAATATTAAATTTAATTACATAAGAAAGACATTTTAATTCGAATAATATTAAACAATAATTATAAAAGAAACAAAATAACACAGAAATAACAATTCAACAAATAATAAAACATGCTTGTTACGAAACATTAAAAATGTTATTTATGAGAGTTGAGATTATAAAATATGTTACAATTTCAATAAATCATTTTATTCGACAATTTCAACAAGTATAATAAGAACAACATATAAACATATTAACACATCAACAAAATAAAACACAACATTGAAGTTTTGAAGAAGAAAATACAAATAACATTAATACTAGACATTATGTAAAATATTTATGCAACATTCATCAAATTAAATAAATCATCAAGATATAAAAATGTTATTTATGTAATTATTCCAAATTGAATAACTGATTCTAAACATGGTGATATGTTTAATAAAATCGAGAAAGTAATAGAAACAATAAATAATATTATTTCTTTGAAGAAAGTTAATTCAAATGAATATTTAATTAATGAAAATTATTCATAATTATTTTTTGAAACGTATAGGTAAGTGTTGAATGTTGTCAACAAATAAATGAAGGAGTAAAAAATAACATTTGAAATATAATATTCCATTAATAGTTGTGAAAGACATATAGACAATAATTATGATAATACATCAAATTATTTAAAATCATCTATTAGTTCAATTATTTTATTGAATTTCACATCTATTGTTAAATTATCTATTTTTAATACTTCATTTTTATCAATTTCAAAGTATAAATCATATACAAAAGAACTTATTGTATTTGTTGCAGTCTGTCTAAATATATAATTAAAATTCTTTAGAACATCATTAAAATATTATAATAGTTACTATTTATTGCTTGATTGATTTAATTCATTTCATATGTGCATAGCCATAATAATTGTTGTTTTCAAATGTCTTAATCTTGTAATAATTTCTCCCCATGTTTTATCTTCTTTCATTAATGCAAATGTTGCATCTTCTAATATAATTATTAAGTGTTTTTCTTGTGGTTGTTTATAATATTGCATTAATGCTGGCATAAATTTCTCATAATTCATTCCATATATTGGTGTTTTAATAAGTCCTTTAAGTTGATTAAATGTTTCATCGTCTCCTGCATTTTGTGATACATAAATAATCGCCTCATATTGGTGTTCTATTTTATTGAGTTTTGCTAATTCTTTCATAATAATTGTTGTTTTTCCTGCTCCTTGTTTCCCATTAATAATATTAAAACTATTATAATAAAAGAAGATTTGTCGATGAACTTTTTTTAATTTGATTCTCTCCTTTAATATTACTTAATCTTTCTTTAATTTCTTTATCTATTTCTTCTTCTCCAATATCATCATCATCGTCTTCTTCTTCATATTCTTCTCTATATTCATTTGTATCATCATCTTCAAAATTATCAAATTCCATAAACTAAATTTATAAAGATTCAATTATTTAATAGTTTGTTTGAAAAACTTCTAGTCTTTGTTCTAATAGTCCATTTCGTATTTCTTCATTTGTTTTCATTTCTTGATTATACATATTTCTTATCTTCTCTATTTCTTTTCTTAATCGTTTATTCTCGGAAATAATATCTTCCATAAGATCATTCAAATTATCATTTAGTTGTCTTTTAATATACTGATTCATCTTATCTTTTTGATTTCTTGTTTTCTTGGGTGCTGCTTCTTCTATTGTTGGATTAGTTGCTCTTATTAATACTTGTGGTAATTCATTATTTTCATTTGGTTGTGTTTCAAAAATGTTTTGTTGTGTATTGTTCATGTTATTCTTGTTTGTTATTTCATGTTTTCTTTTCCTTTAAATATTATGTTGTATTATTCTTATTATTATCCTTTCTATTCTGTATTATATTCATCATTTAAAAACTCTTGTTTTATCATCATATATACGTCATTTGAAACTCATTATTCATTTGAAACATGACTACTTTAAAAGATATTCTTATTATACTTGCTGGTTATGAAATAGATCAACCATCATTAGAAGAAGCAATCAAATTACAAAAACAAATTGGAAATTTAATCCCATCAATTCATGAAGAACATCAGAAAAGATTAATAAAACATGCATATTGGAAAATTGTATGGATAATAAATACATTAGCACCATGGGATAATAAAAATTAATTGATTATTTTATTTGAAACTTTCATTTTATTATTAAATATTTATTAAAAGCATTTCTAATTGAATTTATTTCATCTTTCTTTCATTAAATTATGTTAAAATTAAATAAATAAATAATAAATAATAAATCAGTTTAAAAAAATTAATTAAATTAAATCTCACATAAATCAATTTTATCAAACTCTTCTTCACTCTTCTGGAGCTTCAGGAGTATATTCTAAATATCGTGTATGCCATCTCTGATACACCAATCATCGATGTATTTCAACAGGCGGTCGATTACCATCTGTGATAAATTTCTTAATCCAATTAATTGCACTTTGTAAAGAATTGGCAATATTGCTGTATATTCATTATACATAACCTCTATCACATTATAACTCGTATTAGAATAGTTTCTATAAAACTCATAATTGTTGAATAACACATTGAAATTATAATCAGTTAATAATGAAACAACGTTATATTTTCACAATCCCCCTTTATTATAAACATTAATTTAAATCTGTCACTTAAAACATCTAATGTTGTATCACTATTCATAATCGTTTGTTGTATGCTTTACAACCGTAGAGACTATCTTTAAATAGCACTAGGATATGGTATCAGACATGCCATAAACAATGTTTTGTATAACATTTACGACTATCATCATAAATGTTTTATAAAACACTCCGTGTCACAGTATTAAAGTGACCGTAATGTTAGGGAAGTTTCCCGAAAAGTAGGGACAACAAATCCCTAACGACAAAGGTGTCACACAAGTCGGGGTAATACTATCCCGACTTGTGACTTTGTGTTATATATAACACTATAATTTTTTTCATTTCCTTCTCTCTCGTCTTCCTCCTCATGCAATCGCCTTTCAGTTGCCTAGCATAGGTACTTCCTACGGACTCCATCCTCGTTGCTTGATACGGAAACAAAAGAAAATTATAATGCATTCGTACTTGACTAACCTTTTCATGAACACGAGCCGCTCACGCGGCCCGTGGAAAACTAAGGGACGTACAGAAGAGAGTCACTACGTGAACTAAACTTTAAAGCGCTTCGCGCACTAAGGCGAAGGAACTAAATAGTTAAAAATAATTCAATTACTTTCTTAGTCTTTCCTATTCCACTGTTTCCATAGATATAAAATACTTTAATATCAGGTTTGTAAACATCATCAACTGTCATAGACTGATCAACAAATTTAACCTTATTCCAAGTAGCAAATTCACAATAAGGTAAGTCACCTGGATCATCAATAGCTAACAACTCCCTCACTGTATGAGCTCTTCCCTGCTTAGGAGCTTCTCCTATCTCATCGATTATATCAGAATGCTTCTTTATATAATCTATGTTCTGCTTATTACTCCCCCTGCATTTCTCAATATGTGCCCCATGCATTAATTCTACAGAAAGTCTAACATCCTTCTCAAAGCACACAAATATATGGACATGTTCATGTCCAGTTGTAGGTGCTACTTCACGACAACTAATAAGATATTTAAAATAAGGCTTGGTTGTCAAGGCATCTTTAACAGCAGCATAATGCTGTGGTTGATTAAGTGTTAATTGGAAACGTCTGGCGTGCATTGTTTTTTTAAGATCCTTAGGGTTTTTTAGGGCGCACGATTTTCAAGTGACCGTAATGTTAGGGATGTTTCCCGAAAATTAGGGACAACAATCCCCTAACACAGAAGGTGTCACACAAGTCGGGGTAATACTATCCCGACTTGTGACTTTGTGTTATATATAACATGGCGAATGTAGCTGAACTAACCAGACTTTTAATAGGAGGGGAAAAAAAAAGATTTATGGGAGTTAAAGTATCATTAAGGTACCTTTGCTGTCACCCGACTGTTTTTTTTCCCCCCGTCGCTGCGTCGCTTGCGGCTCCGCTCCGGCTCCGCCTCCGCTCCCGCCTGTCCTTCGGACCGCTCCTTGCTCCCCAGGGGGGAAAAAAAAAGATCGGGAGACAGAGAGGTATCTTAAAAAAACTATATTAACTCTTCTATATTTGGCGAAGGAACTTTCGTAGTTTTCTAAAAATAATTCAATTACTTATTCTTAAGTTGTTTAAATTTGGTATAGAACGTTATTTCAAAATGTTCCATTCCACTTATTATTGGTGAGGCATGCAAACCATAAAAATCCCATGCAGATGCATATGCATCAGTTGGGCGATGAGGTTGTCCAATTGTTATTGATTCTGAAATGGGTATTCCATTAGCTGTAAAGAAATATCCAAATAGAATAGGATCAAAATATGCAACATCTTGTATAGAATAAGAATACTTTTGTTTATTAGTAGGATTATCAACTGGATAAGTCTTCTTGGTTCCATTCATTTTAATATATCTCATTAACTTCCTTTTAGATATCTGTTGGTCTAATTTATCTGTAATTGTAATTCCAGTTTGATTTGAATCTTGATTATTAGTTATCTCATCTACCTTATCTTCTAAATAAGGCTTAACATAGAATTTAAATGGCTTTGTCATATCATATACTTTATAAGTCTTAGGCTTATTAGGTCCATAATCAAAGTTCTTTAATTTATATCTAGTATCTTTACATGTTAATGTATAATCCATACTTTCTGGATCAGTTGGTAATTCCATTGAATAATAATTATCTTTTTCAAATAACACATGCATATTAAATGTTACTTGTGGATAATATAGTAATCCAGTAGCATCTTTATCATAATCAAATGCATTTAAACGTTGTACAGGATCTATAACAAGATTAACAGTACTTCCACCCGTTCCAATAACTTGACTTGAATTAGTAGCAATACTTTTAGGCATATAAGGTAAAGCAACACTCGTTTTAACCTTTGGTATCCATTTAACCTTTACTCCACTAAATTTCCAATAATCATACATATCACAATAAGAATCCCATAGATTTCCCATTACATTATGATCTAAATATGGATTCCATGCTACAAAAGTAGGTGGTGATAATGCTATTTGCTCTGTTCTTAAAATACTATTAGCAGTATCTACAGACTGCACAGTCATAAATTTCTGTCCAATCATTCTAAAATCCAATTCAGCTTCAGCAACAGGTACAGCAATTCCATTATTAGAAGGATAAGCAGCCATACATAATATTTGTGGTAAACTATCTCTCTCAGGAATAGCAATAAACTCTACTATTGAGCAAACAAGCTTACTCTTTAATTTAACAGTATTTGGTTGTGATAACAACCGGCGTCGTTTATAATATCTTCTTCTTTTTCTATATACACGTCGTTTATATACACGCCTACCACGACGAACAGTAGGTCTTTTAGAAGTCTTTCTTCTTGTTGTTCTCTTCTTTAAACGAGCCATATGAGAATTATAAGAAAATGAGGTTTAAATACGTGGTGAATCATCACACTCTATGAGTTTTAAATGAAAAATAAATGAATTATTCATAAAATAAAAATAGAAAACTAAAAGAAATAGAAAAAGAATTAGTTAATTAAACTAGTCAAGAGTCACACTCTTCCAAGTGAAGGAGAGAGAATCTTCTTCTTTAAATTCGAAGACATCAAAGCGTCTTCGAATAGCTTCTGCATCCCGCTCTTCTGGGAAGCATTCATCAATGGTGTATTGACTAGTGACTACTAAATTATAGTCACTAGCATTAACAGCTATAGCTCCTCCCTTCTTCTCAGCAATGAAGGGGTAACGATCGCACCAAATTTTAAAGTAGTGTGCAATAAATTTACACATTGTTGGGTCAGCATCTTCTATCAATACACATTTCTAGCCATTATAGCCATCCCACCATTTATTAAGTAGTTTATTAAATACTTCTTCAGGAGGGAAAGCCTCATGAGCCATACGAGACTTTCCACACCCAGTGGGACCAACTAGCCATATATTTTTATGAGCCAGCTCGCCTTCGTAATTTTTTAGGCTTCAGCTCAGCAGACCTTCGATCTGCATATGACTGGTATCTAGCATACAACTGAGAATCTTTATCAACTTCACCAGCCTTTATGGTATCAACAAAATGGTTCCAAGCATCTTGTAAGCCCTTGCGACCTGATGGGGTGGCTCCCCATTCATAAATATCATCATCCTTATCGCAATATGATCGAATAGAAGTATAATCTCCTGGAGCTGGATCCCAATGCATTCCTGGGATAAAGGTGGGTCTAACTCTTGGATTAGCATAAGCAAGTAAGACATGAGTATGAATACGACAACTTCGTTGGCCAATGTGCTGACCAATTAAACCATACACAACAGGCTGTAAAGCTATAGCAGCCAACTGATCAGAAGTTGGCTCAAATAAAGTACCAAACCATCTTCTAGCACGAAGCACAGCACACATGTTTACTGGGTAATACTGTGCCAATAAACATGTATTTATAGATCTAGCCACGTGTTAGGCAGAACATAGATAGGACAATATTATAATAATATAGTTTTTTTATTATTTTATTTATCGAATCCTCCTCTTATCATCATTCATACCTAGTCTAAATTTCTCACTGAGCAAAATTAAGTCATCTATCTACAATCTTTTTTCTTTTTTTTGTTACCGTTCGACAAATCAATATTATTCTTTTTTGTTATTATAATATTTTGGTATTGGTGTTCTTTTTATAGAATTAGATAAGTTGATTACATAACTACTTATTTACTTCAATATTTCTTAGCCATATATATTTTGTAAATGAATTTAGGAAAATATGAATAAAACAAATGTTGAATATATTTTATTCTAGAAATTTATTTTACTTTTTTATACTTTCATTTGTTTTATATAAGAAAATGAAGAGAAATTGTGACAAAACACTTGTCACATGTTGGTATTTTGATATTTTATTTCTTAATCATTCTATGATGAGTAGTAAAAATGTAAAATGTTAATATTGATGAATCTAAAAGTATCAAAAAAGATAACACTTCATTATTAATAAAAATAAACATGAGAAATACACAAATATATTATATATAAAAAGAGATATAAAGCAAATAATGTTTAGAGAAGAATGGATGATGATAAAACATTATCATAGTCATTATTTTTTTCTACAACAACATTATATTAAGACATTTTAGAAACAAAAGAAACTATGGTTAAAAATACTCAATTTAGACAACATCAATATATTCTCTTCCAATGAAATATTGTTCAAGAATTACAAACATCCTACTAGATATTCTAATTTCTTCTTTTTATTTTAATCTTGTTTTTCTTCAAATGTCAAACAATAACTCAAGATTTCATTTAAACTGTGTCTATAGAAGACTAGTCTTCAATGAGAGTGAGAATGATGATTATAACATTCTTATGGTTTATGAAATTTGTTGTATTTGTACATAAAACACATTTCTGACTATGAAATTGTCATCCCTAACTATTCTATTCATAAAAATAGTCAAATTACATTTGAAAATAACACCTTTATTGTTGTTGAGAATCAAAATGAAAGAGAAATATTCTTTGACTCATTTGGTGATGATAACCACTCTATTCTAATCGAATTCATTCTTTTTTATTATTTTCGTTTTTATTCATTCTATTTTTCTCCAAAGTAAATAGTATCTATACACTAAGAGACAATACATAGAGGAAAATTAAATATAATTATCTTCTTAAAATTTATTCAATTATGTTATTCATTTTATTAATCTAATTAATTCTCATCTGTATGAACTACTTCAATTAATCTATTGAATTTCTTTCATAACTATTCTTAATTTCAAATAATTCTTCTGAATTAAATGTAGATGTAATTATTAATGTATAATTAACTGGATTAATTACAATATTATCTTCTTTACTACTTATTTGTACTTCAAAATTATAATAATCTCCACATGTAAATATACTGTTTTAATATATTTAACATTGTTTTTATCAATGTCATCTAATAAAATTACTTTTTGTTTTTTATAATTTCTCCATATTTTACTTGTACTTTTATTATATGGAATTAATTGCCTTATTCTTTTACACATTTCATTACCTGTTAATGTCTTTCCTGTCACAGTCTTTCAAAACAAAAAGATGTTCTTCCTTTCTATTCCCTTTATTACCGTCTCTTCATTTATACATCCTTTCTCAAAACTCATCTTTGTTTTTTCAGTTCTTATCTCTTTAAATATTCAATGTCTACTAATAGGGGTAATCTTCCTCATAAAATTGAACAATGATTTAAAAAGACAACAAAACAAAATATATTGAACAACTTAGAAAGTCTATCACTGAATGAAATATTCATACTGATATTTATTTTTATATCACTTAATTCAACAAATCTATCAATTTCAAATTGTTCTTACTGATATTGGTGCTCAAAGAAATAACAATCACATCATGTATCCTGTTTGTTCTATTTATTTTAAAAGAGATATTAAAACTCCTTTGAATATATCTATTTACAAGCAACTCACTACAAATTTATTTTCTTTAAATAGACTTAAAGGTTATAGATACTCATTGAAATCAACTTTCAAATATTTGTGTTAATTCTTGACTAATGTTATGATTATTATTAGATACAATTATCCTGATAGGAATTTTCTCTATTAACTTTAACTTCAGAGTTTATACTCAACAAAATACTTTCATTTCTGAACTTAAATCAAAGGATGATTTAACTCTATTTGTTCATAATCCTGCCATCACTATATTTAATCTTCTCAAAACACATTTCACTCATAATAATAACTTGTTGTTTTACGAAATCAACTCATTAACACTCTACTCATCTATCAGAATAATGTTGGTCTATTTGATTCTTAAATGATTCATCTCTATTGACTCAGAAAAAGGACTTCCTAAAGTCAATCAAATTGATACTTTGAATTTCACTGTTGACAATCTCGTTGTTTTGAATATTAATGAAAATACTCATGTTAACACTCAATCTAATCAACCTGTTGTTCAAATCGATGATTTCTTATTCACAAATCTTCAACATACTTTACTATTACTTTCTAATTAATGTTTTATTATTTCTTTAATTCTATGAATCTATTATTTTTCTCTTTTCATTATGAGTCTCACAAGTGCTAATAACACTAATAGTAAGAAAACAAAAAATTAACATCCCCACTTATCATGAAAAACTTAGATGTGACTTAGAAAGTCGAATTAATCTTGAGAAACAAAACCAAAAAGATGTCTTTGAATTTATAGATGAGTATTTTGATCAGAACAAAATATTCAATTAGAAAGAATGAAAACAATGGGTTCTAAAGATTTAGTTAAAATATTTAGTCCTCCTATTAATGTAGACTTCTTGAATAATATGTTTAATGAAAATCTTCTTTCTGCTGTTATGTATAATAAAATTCTTCAATTTAATCAATCACATGTCATTAGAAAATTAAATGAGTTGTATGTCGATAAAAATATCTTTGATATCCTTCAATTAAACAGTATTGAATTGATTAGACACTTTAATATAGATAGTAACATCTTTCTAAAATGGAAACACAGGGGAAATAAAACGATGTGGATACCTACTCCTGTTTGTACTTTAATTCTCAATAATCTTCTTAGTCCAGGAAGTTGGGAAGTAATTGAAAGAATAGAAAGTAATGAAAAGAATGAGATATTCAGTATTCATGGGAAATTAGTCTTATGGTTAGGAAATGGTACACATTATGAAACGGATGGGTATACCACTAAATTCTTTGAACAAAAAATTACTTCTTCAAATTATTACAATGCTATGAAATCTCATAGAACATGGTTTACTCTTCTATTATTGTCTCAAGCTTTTCAATGTTTTCTTTCTATTAATAGTGTCAATGCTGAAATAATGGAAAATATAGGTCAAACTGAAATATTCTTGGATGAATTAAAAAAGAACAATCACAGTCTAAAATGTATAGAACCTATTCTTATTGAACAGTCTCATCACTTGAATCAAAATGATGTTAAAGAGATTCGTTTGAATGAGGATGTTGAATATTCTAATTCTAGTAGTACTATGACTACTCATACTTCTATGATTGAGAAGATTCCGTTAAAAGAAACTGATGAATCTATTAAGATTATAATAGTCAATGATAATGCTACTCATACTATTAATTTATTTAACAATGAAAATGATAACTTAGATGATTTTTAAATGAAATAATTGATGAAATTAACGAAAAATAAATGAATTAATTGATTATTTCTTCTTATTTAGTGTTAAATCTATTTCTTGTCTGTTCATTCCTTTTTCTTCTTGTTTAATCATAACATAACCTAAATATCTAATATCATTAATACTTCATAGTAATCCTTTAAATGGGGATGAATCATTGATGTAATACATCATACGCTCAAAGATAAATTCATTCAAGTTAGTAAAGAGCCATCAATCGAACAATTTGTATCATTATCTCTTTTATCATATGGAATATATTAATCATTTCATTTGTATTTTTAACTCTAAAGAATGTTTCAATTGCCACTATATTAATAAGATTTTCCTTTCCAAATACACTATAGATATCTCCATAATTCGTTTCAATTATAATAATCATTTTGTTATGTGAATCATATTGTTGGAGTCGATTTCTTGCTCCTTGAATTTCATTCATCATTTCTCCATATTCACTATCTGTAGCTTTTTCAAATAGAATTCCATCTACATTCTTCTCATCTTCTTCATTAATAACCAATTTCTTTTCTTCTTTATACTTCAAATTTATATTATTGTAATAATCTATAATATATTGAGAATCATAATTTTCATTCCTATTTTCTTCTATTCTTCTCATTCCTAATTCAATTGGTCTCCATATCATAATTTCTGCTGTTTTGAAATATTCACTTGGAAGATGAATATAATAGTTTCTCAATTCTTCATTTCCATTTCGTATTTTCTGTTATTCTTTATGAATATAATTGACATATTCTCTATCATATTTCTGTTTTTTTTTGTATAAATAACATTCATTGCTTCTTCTATCTTATCTATAATCTCCATAAGTTCTTCTTTTTCTTCATCTTCTCTACTTATTCTTGTACTTATCAATGTTATAATATTACCAATCTCTTCATTACTCATTGTACTTTCGGCAACGAAAAAAAGCAAATAATTGAAACAGAAGAGAATGAATGATATAAAAGAATAAAAAGAAAGTAAAAAGTTTGATATGATGAAGAAAGAATAAAAGTAGAAAGTAGAGAATATAAAAAGAAAGAAGATAAAGTGTAATAAAACAAAAGAGATGATAAAAGAAGAAAAGAAAGAAAAAAAATAAAGGATGCAAATTTTATTTCAACAAATAAAAAAAGCGCAAAATTTAATGATGCAAAATTTAATGATGCAAAATATTTTGAAATAAAAATAAATCATCATTTGATATTATTATATTTGATAATAATTTATATTATATATATTAAATATAATATATTTCTTTATTATTTATCTTTCTTTTTATTATTTCATATATTAAATTATTATTATTCATTCATTTATTATTTATATTTCATTTATTAAATAAAATGAAAATGAAATTGTAAAATATCAATTAAATATTCATGAATAATAATTTATTAATATTTAATAATTGAAATAACAAATAATAATGTAACAATAATGATATATTCAATATATTCTTTATTAGATTTGTTCAATATTAGTTTATTCTATTTCATTATCATTTCATTGTCTTCATTATTTTATTTCATTATTTCATATTCATTTATTATTTTTAAAATCAAATAAACAATAATATTGATATTCATTCATCATATTCATTTAATATAATAAATATACACAACATTTCAGAATAAATAATAAATAATTGAGAATGAAAATATTGATTATATTTAATATTTTGTTCAACATAAAATCAATAAAATATATATTTTGATAATACACAAATGAAATAATAAAGAAATATACAATACTCAAGAACTAATAAAAAAGAAATAAAAAGAATAAATGAATATAAAATTGATAAATAATAGAAGAAAGAAATAGAAAAACAACGAAAAACAAATAATATAAAAAGAATATAAATATATAAAAGAATAAAAAGAAAGTATAAGAAGAAAGAATATAAAAATAATAAATCACAAAGATGTAATAAAAGAAGAAAAGAAGAAATAAAAAGTGTATTTTTAATGTAAAAATTAGAAATATTCAATAAAAGTGTCTAATTTAATGATGTAAAATAATTAATATTATTTTATTAATGAAAATATTTTACTCTTTTTATGTTTATTATTTATATGTATAACTTCATTCTAATGTTTATTATATAATCAATCATATGTGTTATGTTATTATAACATATAATAAGTGATAAAATATAAATGAAAATGATATGAATATATAACATAGATAGAATAAAAACAAAAGAATAATAAGAATAAATGAAATAAAAGGAGAAATGATAGTCAATGATATAATAATAAAATCAAAGTATAAAATATAAAATTAATAATAATATAAATAAAAAGAGAATAAATATAAATTGAAAATAGATATAAAAATGATAATAATATAAAAGATGAATAAGATGAATAAACAAATACATTTAAATATAAAAGAATAACAATAAGAAAATCTAAATAATATAAACATAAAAATAATCAAATAAGAAGAATATAATAATATAATAATATATAGATAATAAGAATAACACAATAATATATAGATAATATAAACAGAGAAATAAATATATAAAAATACGATAGATAAATAATAAAAATAATAAAAATAATAAAAATAATAATTAAATATGAATAATCAAATCATCTATTTCATTAATATTTCATACAAAATGAATAGAAATGATAATAAAATATAAACATAAATATTTATATATTCTGTATTTATCATACTTTTTATTTTTTGATTATTATTTTTAGGAGCAAAATATAATAAATGGAATATTCTATTGATGCAAATTTTTTTGCATCTTTTTTCTTTTTTGTAAATTATTTAGATGCATTTTTTCTTTGCTAATTTTCGTACCTATGAATTATCATTTATTTTTAATTATATTATTTATTGTTGTAGTATTAATTATTTTTCATTTCTATTATCATCAAAACAACTATTTCTTACATTATTATATTTTATTATTCTTATGAAATTTATTGAATAAATCACTTCATTTATTGAACACTAAATAATATCATTCTCATTTAAATGTAACCATATTTTGATATTTCTTAAATAACAAATTAAATGCATTGAAATAGAATGATAATTATGAATATCTTTTATTTCATTTCTGTGTTTGTATTAAAAATTGATGAAATGTTGAAAATAAAATAAATTACCATGTCATTGAGTTGAAGTTCAATTTGTTCTATTCTTCTTTGTATAGATTATTAGTTCTTTCTCATAAAATAATGTTGTAATTGTAAAACGAGTATTTTAATACAAAATATTCAATAAATTACTCATAATATGAAATATTCATTTATACTTCTCCATGAATTTCCATTGTTTCAAGAAAACAATTCTCTTGTATTATTATTCTTGTAAATATGTTTATCTTCTTCTTAATTCAAAAACCCATTATTCTTGAATATGTTCCAGATGGTGAAATTCAAATAGTTGGTATTCAAATATCACTCAATCAATATTTGCAATTGAACATCATTGTGGATATAATTGATGGCTTTCCTCTTTATACTTATTTATAACATTCTTATTAACATTAATAATATTGTTATACACAGTTTGAAATGGTTTTTAGATAAAGAACAAGATTCAATACCTTGCTTTTTGAAGTATTTGTTTTATATGTCGTTGAATGAATTAAACAGAAAATGATTGAAATACTACTTCTCAAAATAACTTTACATCTGAAATTAAATCATTTTGTAAATATGTTCATTTGAATGAAATGACTTTCACTTTATATTTAATATTATATCATACAATATATGTTAATATTAAATTGTCTTGATGAAATTCTAAT